GTTGCCAAGGTTGGACACCCCTGGTTTAGAGTATAGATGTTGATTTGGGATGCAGTTCTGTCCTTATTGTTGATTCAAAGGATAAGAGAAAGAAGGAAAGAAAGGGAAGGAGGCATCAACTCTGCTTATAAGTTATGTTACCAGATGCCTAATCTGTATTTTTGTTACATGAAAATAGCTTGATTGGAAGTTTTGGGGGAGGATAGTAGTATACAATCCGAACACTATAAAACAAATAGTTTTGTAAATACAATGCAATTCATGAACTACACTGTGTAATGTGCGACTACATAGAAATCATAATAAAGAACTCATATATACAGTATATATTGTATATACTATATGGAGTCAACCTTCACAGACACCTAATTGTCATCTGTATTCATATATTAAACATGGATCTACTCCTGAAATCAGGTCGTTAAGTAGCTTCCCCTCTTATGTGGCATATACAGTGGTGACAAGTGACATTACAGAAGGTCATGTCACTTTTAACTGCTTGCATTAGAGCTTTCTGATTTCCCTGGTGCTTTCCTTTGTTTGATTAATACTATTAGGTTGTGAAATGCAATTGTGACAGCAATTTTTTAATGGAAGAAATCTAGCCATTTTATGAAAGTTTATCCTGTTATATATTTATATGAATTATTCAAATGTTATGTTACATGATAGATCCAAAAGACTAAGAATGGCCAACAAAAATTGGAAAACAAATCTAAATAGACCAAGTAACTATGGAATAAAAAGACATTTAACATGCAAATACGTTGATCTAAAACTTCCACATGATTGTATTCTATAGCACACACATTATTTGAACAGGATAACAGAAGGAGCTATTGGTTTCTCACATAATAGCATAGGTTTTAAGTTACTGTGTGTAATAGACTGCTTCCTAACTTGAGCTCTGGGATTCATGAAGCATTTCCAGATTCTGCTTTAGTAAAATATAGTAAAATACAAATATTTCATTCCTGCTCCAACATCACCACTGCTAGGAGCTACATTAAAACCCATACCTATAGTAAACCTATGGAACCTTTTGAATTTCCAAGGGAAGTATGGTGGAATATTGGAAAAATCATTGTTAGAATGAAAATGTAATTTTTAATTAATATATCATCATGTTTTTACCAGAATGTATTAGACTGAAAAATGGACATGAAAAGTTAATATACCAGGATTTCTTTTGTATCCACTTGTTTTGGGAGTATAATCATGTGAGTAGCTCATGCATTCTCAGTGTAGCTTAAAATCAACCTACATTTCCCCCCTTTTTCTCCTTGCCATCTGTAACCAAAATACACTCCGTGGAGGTAGTTCTTCACTGCCTCATGCAGTGAACAATCACAATTACGATGGTGATAAAAATAACTTTACACCCAATACTTGCGTGCGGTTCTGCAAAGGAAAGCTGAAGTAAGTAAATGCAGTGTGGTTTCAGTTAGTGACTGCTTCACTTAATGACCAGGTTGCCAGCCCCTGTGGTTGTTAAATGAGGACTAACTAATTGTTTTCCATAGCTGGGTGTAAATATCAACCCATTAAGCAGTGTGGCTTCATATCATCAGCTGCATCCCATTGCTTTAACTGAGCCATTTGAAAAGGGAAACTGGGAGATGCAAGCAAGGTAGGCTGTCCCCAATGAAAAGGCAATATCTACAAGTGCAAGATGGACCTGTATTTGTTGCACGCACATTGAAAATTGCAATCTTGCCATTTTAGACACACACACACATGCACAGACACAAACAGATGGCATTTAAAATCCTAAAATACATAATAGAAGAAAGCATGCAACAACATTTAAGGATCCATAAACATCAAAATTATTCGGCATAACTTTGAAAAAGTGTAAAAGCAGGAAGGCTGGAAATAAAAATAACAACTGCAAGCATTTCAATAATATTTCTTAAGTTCCCTTTTACTTGTGTTGTTGGAAAAATATATTCAAATATTAACACACAAATATCAGGATTCTATTGCTGCAAATAAAATATTGTAGTAGATTTTTCCTTCCAGTGTTGTACAGCAATCTTTTTTGTCCAATCTTCATGGTCCACAAATCCACAGTTCCTGATTAGAATTAGAATTCTTTTATTGGCCAAGTGTGATTGAACACACAAGGAATTTGTCTTGGTGCAAATGCTCTCAGTATACATAAAAGAAAAGATATTTTAATAATACGATATAGCAAAGAAAATACACTGCTCAAAAAAAATAAAGAACACAAAAATAAGACATCCTAGATCTGAATGAATGAAATATTCTTATTAAATACTTTGTTCATTACATAGTTGAATGTGCTGACAACAAAATCACACAAAAATTATCAATGGAAATAAAATTTAGCAACACATGGAGGTCTGGATTTGGAGTTATGGTCAAAATTTAAGTGGAAAAAAACACTACAGGCTAATCCAACTTTGATGTAATGTCCTTAAAAGAAGTCAAAATGAGGCTCAGTAGTGAGTGTGGCCTCCACGTGCCTGTATGACCTCCCTACAACACCTGGGCATGCTCCTGATGAGGTGGCGGATGGTCTCCTGAGGGATCTCCCACACCTGAACTAAAGCATCCCCCAACTCCTGGACAGTCTGTGGTGCAATGTGGCATTGGTGGATGGAGCAAGACATGATGTCCCAGATGTGCTCAATTGGATTCAGGTCTGGGGAACGGGCAGGCCAGTCCATAGCATCAATGCCTTTATCTTGCAGGAACTGCTGACACACTCCAGCCACATGAGGTCTAGCATTGTCTTGCATTAGGAGGAACCCAGGGCCAACCGCATCAGCATATGGTCTCACAAGGGGTCTGAGGATCTCATCTCGGTATCTAATGGCAGTCAGACTACCTCTGGCGAGCACATGGAGGGCTGTGCGGCCCCCTAAAGAAATGCCACCCTATACCATTACTGACCCACTGCCAAACCAGTCATGCTGGAGGATGTTGCAGGCAGCAGAACGTTCTCCACGGCATCTCCAGACCCTGTCATGTCTGTCACATGTGCTCAGTGTGAACCTGCTTTCATCTGTGAAGAGCACAGGGCACCAGTGGTGAATTTGCCAATCTTGGTGTTCTCTGGCAAATGCACGGTGTTGTAAGCACAACCCCCACCTTCATACCACCCTCATGGAGTCTGTTTCTGACCGTTTGAGCAGCCACATGCACATTTGTGGCTCGCTGGAGGTCATTTTGCAGAGCTCTGGCAGTGCTCCTCCTGTCCCTCCTTGCACAAAGGCGGAGATAGCGGTCCTGAGGCTGGGTTGTTGCCCTCCTACAGCCTCCTCCACGTCTCCTGATGTACTGGCCTGTCTCCTGGTAGCGCCTCCATGCTCTGGACACTACGCTGACAGACACAGCAAACCTTCTTGCCACAGCTCGCATTGATGTGCCATCCTGGATGAGCTGCACTACCTGAGCCACTTATGTAGGTTGTAGACTCTGTCTCATGCTACCACTAGAGTGAAAGCACCACCAGCATTCAAAAGTGACCAAACCATCAGCCAGAAAGCATAGGAACTGAGAAGTGGTCTGTGGTCACCACCTGCAGAACCACTCCTTTATTGGGGATGTCTTGCTAACTGCCTATGCTTCCACCTGTTGTCTATTCCATTTGCACAACAGCATGTGAAATTGATTGTCAATCAGTGTTGCTATCTAAGTGGACAGTTTGATTTCACAGAAGTGTGATTGACTTGGAGTTACATTGTGTTGTTTAAGTGTTCCCTTTATTTTTTTTGAGCATGTATATATCTCCTTAACATAAATGGGATAATGGGTTTCAGAGTTGTATGCATAACTTGGCTGAAGTCAGCTCAAGACTTCAATAGGGCGAGATAAAATTATATTGGTGAATACTCTCGAATTCTCTCAGTTATGTCTCTGTCATCAGGGTGATTTTAACTAACCCTTACTGCAAATACTCTAGATGGTCTATGTACCTAAAGTAAATGTATTCAATTAGTCTCATTTCCAGAAAAAATATGAAATTAATTTCATTTATTCTGAAGATAAAGTTAACTTTTTTATATCAATTTCCATCAGCTTCCTCGAAAGCAGTGGTTCTCAACCTGTGGGTCGCAACCCCTTTGGGGGTCGAATGACCCTTTCACAGGGGTCACCTAAGACCATCGGAAAATACATATTTTCGGTGGTCTTAGGAACCGAGCCATAATTTTATGGTGGGGGTCACCACAACATGAGGAACTGTATTAAAGGGTTGCGGCATTAGGAAGGTTGAGAACCACTGCTCTAAAGGTTTATTGGCTTTTAAGGACTGTAGAACTTCAAAAGTTGAAATTGCATCTGGTTGAAATAAATCCAGTAACAAATGTTCTGGTTTGCTCTAAATATAAACTGATAAAATATGCATAGGTGTTTATAGGGAGGAAAAGCAGCAGCCAACAACAAAACATCATGACACAATCCTATGATTCATATATTTGTATCCTGCATTGATGCAAATACAAAATGCTGAGGTTTTGAAACATGAGATCACAAATTGTTTCACCATTTTTTGCAACATTAATTTTAATTCCTGCAAAATTAAGAAGAAAGAAGAATTAAGAAGTGAACTTCTAAATTTCTCATCCTGCTTACCTCTTTTTGTACAGCCAGACTGAGGAGTTTAGACGCTCTCATATTCTTCTCTGCTTTGGATTAATCATAGATTGTATGGTACCTAGTAGGAATTGTGTTTAATTTGAACAAAGATTAAATTATTTTGAGTAATTACAGTTAAAATTTGACATTCTTTGACCTAACCAGTTGGTAGCAGCATAGGAGGGTTAAATGGACATAGGAGGGTTAAATGGAGCTATCTACTTTTGGATATGCTTGGTAATGTTACATAGTATATTAAAGTATATTTGTTTCTAGATCAACCAAATGTTGTAAGAAAATGTGCACGTTGACAAAAATTTAAACTACAAAAAGGTTAAAGAAACAAATATTTTCCTTTTTAAGCTCTTGATAATTGCTACTCTTTATGTCTGCAGCTAGTGGAGGACATGCTAGAGGACGAGGAAGAAGAGGATGACAGAGATGACAAGGTAATTATCTTTCCTGGCACCTGGTACCTAGGGATGGGAGTACACACAAACTGCTCTTACAGGCAGTTAAAAAGGAACGGGAGTGTTTTGTAGTGCAGAGCGGTTTATCATCTTAACAATTCCCTTTCCCTCCCCTCCTCCCCCACTATATATTTTTGTCCAGAACTGGGCCATTTCTCTCCCCCCCCTCTTCTTTCAAGAATAAATATATTTCAGCTTGTCTGGAACTTGATAGCTGTTGTGAAGAAAAGTGCAGTGACAATTGTTTTTGAAGGACTAAAATTTGTCCTTTCTGGAGTACTTCAAATAGGGCTGTACTTCCAGGTGGGAGGAGTATTGTAAAAATAGAAACACCATACTGTTTGAAGGTGGTCTATTGCCATCTGTAATTTTCTGAGAATTACTTGGTAGAAGAGTGTTTGATGTGTGTTTCACTCTGTAAGATATTTAAATAATCACAATTCTCATCTGCCTCGTATCGATGGATTCAGGATTGGCATTGTGTGGCCCAGCATCAGTCTAAGAGATTGGTTGCTCTTTCAACTATTGAGAAAGTTGCTCAGTTCCTAGGCTGCTATTTGGGCTGAGAATTTCCACCAGAGTAAATAACAGCTAGTTAATACTGGTTATTGAAGCAAGCAATAGGACTGCAAGGCTGTCCCTGGAGAAGAAGGAAGAGGCATAGAGAGGAAATTAGAATGACCTTGTACGAAAGAGACCGTGATGTTAGTTGGCAGGGCTGACTTATGGGAAAGAAAAGTGCAGCAAGATAAATGTCTTTTAAGAACTTTTAAAATGAAGATACTGATGGAGTGAATTCAGATTATTCTAATGTGTTCCATTTAAATGCAGAAAATGCTGACCTTCACGTACTGTTTTAATAAACCATCAACGGTTTTTTGAATAACAGTGGAAAAAAACCTATCTTAATATATGCCTTTGACCTTTGTTGCTAGTAGAGACATACAGTTCTATATCACTACAGGAATTTTAGGCTGGCAGCCAGAAAACATTTGACATGTAGGAAAATTTACTGTGATTAGTTTACTCTGAACAATTAAGGTACGTGTTTTGAAAGACGAACCTCTGAATATCTTTATTAGTCCACATTTAGTAAATACATGGTGATAGTTTTTTATCTATGTATTTTAATGATTTTGATAACAGCTGCAATCATGAAATAATGTCACACCTAAATTTCTTCCATGCAAAGCCATATGTGCTGTTTTCATTACAAAATGCTTAGCAGTACAATACATGATTTATCATGAAGGTCAACCCTATAGCATAGTGAGCTTTAACACAAAGACATCTTCCCTCTGATAAATGTGGGTCTGCTATCAATTTGGGAGGTTTTTTTTTAGCACTTGAGCATATTTCATTATCAATTTTTTTGTACTTTTAGAAGTTTATAACTAAAATCTCTTTAAACTAGATAACCTACCTACTCTTTTCTCTGATTAGTATTTATATGTGTGCATGTGTGTATTAATTTACTTTTGCTTATGATGTTAGTATTTAAAGGACTTACCTTATTCAGTAATTAAACAATAAATCAACATCTTTCACTGTCTATAAAAAAATGAGAACAATAATAATTTAAATAAAAACTAATGTCTGGAACTATATCAACTATATTGGCCATCTGAATCACTTTGTAAAATTCCAAACACTTTTAAATTGAACTATCAATGCCAAATAAATAGGAGTGACTTTGTAGCTACATGAAATGGTATATTTTTAACATAGAAACTAAATGTTTATGAATAATTTCTAAGTAAAATGATTATATGTCCATATCTAATGCACAATATCTAGTGGAAATATTTATAAAGAATGATTTGGCAATGGGTTGTTTTTCAAAGCAAACTTAACAATATTTTTCTCAGTTGAGTGTTTTCTGCATAGTGTAAATTAGATTAAATCATAAGTAATTTAACTACTTCCATTTTAAATGAATATATAATTTGAGTTTTGAGAGAAAACAAATGTAAATTCTGCTGTAGTGACCTCTAGCTCTCGGTATTGTTCTGTTTTCTCATTTGGTAAAATAGTAAAGTGAGGTCAGTGGGTCCTCTTATAGAATAAACATAAAAAAAATTAATAAACCTGCCAAAGCCTCACTTTAATTGAAATTGAAGCATATATTGCAAGGATATAAAATATGTCCCAGATGTCTAGCCACACAAAGTAACCTAGTTTTCCCCGATTACCACAAGGCAACTATTAGTTCAGTAACCTTTTGACTTGGGGGTAAATGGGGCATTATAACGCTGAGAACTACAGCACCTGTTTTCTATTTAATAAAGACCTCTGCACACTTCCCTTAGCTGCTTCATGTGTTTTTGCTTAGCATATTGTTAGGTGATTATGATAAGGCTCTTTCCTCAGAACTGGTGTAGAGATTAGACACTTAAGCAAAATGAGTGGGTAACTTATTTGCTACTCAACCAAGTCTATGTGGGCATCCAGAGAAGCATTTTTTTTTTAAGCTGGAATAGAATTGTGGGTTTTGATAGTTCTGACTAAGTTGCAGGATGATAACCATAATCAATCCCAATGTCTGTTACAAGTCTTGTCTTGCATAAGAAGTTTCGCGGAATTTATGCAGAGTGGTTCTGATTAAAAATCTTTCTTATTCAGATATAATTTCAGTAATAGATATAGTATATTATTCAGACACTGTTCAATTTATATAAAGTCATATTTTATGTATTATTTCTGTATATAAGAAATGTTCATTTTCAAATAAGATAATAGTTATGTTTTTATACAGAACCTATTGCCGACACATAGTAATGAAAGCATATATTGCATTATGGGGAAAAATAGATTGTTGGTTCAGTTCAGAACAACATGCAAAATTCACCATTGCTTGCAAGAGTGCACAATTTAATTACAGAAAAAAGATGATGATAATCTCTATCTACCTTCTCTTATTAAAATTAAAATGAGTTATTTAGTAGATGAATGCATCTTCAAATAGCTGCTTAAATGTTATAACACTGGCAATTACATGAAATTAAGCCATTCTCTAAGAAGCTTCCTTCAACTGAACATTTAGGAGGCTATAAAATATATTTCTCACCCAAATATACCATATTCCTTTCATGGGTACAATGTAAATATATAGCACTTCTCTATTAAACAAAACTGCCTTCTCTGTCGCAGTGTCTGCTGTATTGAAGTGTTCCCTGATGATTTGGATGACCCAACCTTGTTGGCATTTCATAGGGCATCAAAGATCTGGATATTCCCTCAGGAAGTTTAAACCAACGCTAACTACTTCATTGACTTCACTGACTAAAATAGTACAGCTTTTAGATCCCAGGCATATTATTTTGGATGTTTATTGATAATTGATAATTCTTGAGCACTGCCTAATCATTATTGTGTCATAGTGTTAGTATCACTTTATAAGGGCCTTGGCAAGATGATACTTGGAATATCGCTTCCGGTTTTGATCACCACATGTAAAAAAGATGTTGAGATTCTAGAAAGAGTGCAGAGAAGACCAACAAAGATTATTAGGTGACTGAATGACCCCTGGTATATCTAGTTTAATGAAGAGAAGCCTGGGGTGACACGATAGCAGGCTTTCAATATCTAAGAGTCTGCCACAGAGAGGATGTCAATCTGTTCTCCAGCACACCTGAAGGCAGAACAAGAAACAATTAATGGAAACCAATCAAGAAGAGATCCTAGAATTAAGGAGGAATTTCCTGACAATTAGAAAAATTAATCAGTGGGACAGCTTGCCTTCAGAAGTTGTGGGTGCTCCATTACTGGAGGTTCTGAAGAAGAGATTGGACAACTATTTGTCTGAAATGGTATAGAGTCTCATGCTTGAGCAGGAGGTTGGATTAGAAGACCTTCTTCTAATTCTGTTATTGATTTTCCATTCTTGGAACTTGTTTATCATAGCAATACCCAGTCTTTATTTTATTGTAGTAAGTTGTGTACTTTCTTTATTACATTTATATAATATATAAATATATATTTATATACCAGATTTCCTTCAGTGAGCTTATGACACACCGCATTTTGATCTTGCCTTTCATTGTAATTTCACAATTAACTTATGAAATAGTTTAGTTTGTGAAGTTTTTTGAGAGAACAAGCAATTGAAGACAATTCTTTTTAGTTCTAGCAAAAGGCTAGACAGGCTACCTAAGCAGATGTTGTCAATTAGTTTGAAATTAAAGTCAGATGTGGGATTGCATCCTGTTCTGATGTTGGACTCTTACAATCAAGGGGGGTGAGCACCTGCTGTAGCAAAGATGATATGTCATTAGGACATTTCTCTTTTTAACTACCTAGTTCCCTACTCCATCTGACTTTATTTTTTTAAATATTCCTTTAATTAAAACTAACCAGGAAACTGGCATGCACCAAAGTAAATGTATCATCTAATATAGCAACTTTATTTACATGAATGTTAATGGTAACTGTAAAGGCTTCTTTGTACATATGTGTAAGATCAAGAGTAAATTTGTTTAAACTGTAGACAAACTTTTATCTAAAGAAAACCATTGCTAATTTAGATTCACAATGTCACGGGCTCATTTGCTGCCTAGATTGTGAGGATCTGCTCCTTGGTTTTAGAAACCTTTTAGTGTTTCTAAATTATTGTTATAATAGAAATTGTTTCTTCATTCTCTGTGCTGGCACTCTTTTATACTCTGCGCCTGTTTCCTTGTATATTGGCCCTGTATATTACCAAGTAGGCCAAGGAACCGGTGTTATAAAATCAACAATACATTCTTAAATCAGTAAGTATTGATGGTGAAACATTTGGGCTTTTATGGCATATGTTTTTTTTAACAAAAGAAAGTAATCAAATCTGAATCATTATTGGTAATTTCTGTTGAGTTTAGGCTTGCCATTTATTCCCTCTGCCCAATAGATTTTCCCCCCATTGTAGCCTGTTTTTAGTAACAATGCATTGTGGCAGGCACTAGGATTAAATCTGGATAGTTACTACATTTTTGTACTGTTGC